ACTCTGATCTCCTGTGAGCCATTGTTTTGCCGGTTGAATTTCGGAAAGGTCGAATTACAGCGATAAGTAGACACGTTTGAACAGTTTGAATTTTCAATCGTTTCATCAATAGTTTTAACATTCACAAACCTCAATGTTATTACCAAATGTTCTTTTGGTTATATGGGCCTCGAATAACATTTTGTTTTATCAATAGCGATCCAACAATCGACAACAATTCCTTGAATTGTGTAGCGGAAAATAATTGTGGAATCGTACTCCATCCTTATGGTCAATTCAGGTATTGACACATGGTGAAAACTATGCTCTGGATGATCCTTTAGATATGTTGCTGTACTGTTCCCAGTACTGTTTGTTCTTGCGGTCTCTTCTCATTTTCTTGCAACTTTCGCATAATTGCACACAATATCAACATTCGTTTCCTATAATCTCTTTAGCTACTATTAACGGCAAATCATTTCACAATATTGATAACACAATACCGTTCGGTCAGTTTAAATTCACAATGACACGCATCCTTAAACTTTATTTTTATACACAAAATAAATCCATAGAAAGGACTATATAAAAAATACAAAAAATCTATTTAAAAAATGCATAATATCAATCACAGCGATCAGCGATTTGAAAAAGCTCCCTCCATGAAAAAGCAGCGGGACTTCAGCTGTTGGCGTTAGCGTTTTGACGCTGCGTGAAACTGCACCTTTATTATCTTTATTTATAAAATTTTGTAACATAAAAAAATATAAATGTAGCGTGCACACACTATAATTTTAATTTATTGTTGTACATTTTTATTATAATTAAAAAAAAGAAATTATTTTTTCTTATACTTTTAACTTCATTAAGTTTGACCGTCGTAAACTTTTACAACATTTGAGGTTACTGTCCCAAGTATCTGACTTCTGCGTTTATCTTTGTTTTTGGGCATTCTCTCTCTCTCTCTCTCTCTCTCTCTCTCTCAGAGAAGACAGGCTTTCAGTATTTATATAGGGTGCAACTCTGAAGTGGTATTTCCATCAAACGACACGATCCAAGAGTTATTGGGTCAGCAACATGATATAAAGACAAGAGTTCGTTCGGTAGTAAGCAGTAAGCCACTGTGCATGGAATAAACATACACCACATTTGGCCATCTTCAGCTATATCCAAAGAGATTCAAGTTTGTAAAATATGTCTACTGATATAACAATTCTAGGCAGCGTCTGTGTACAGCATTAACATACTACAGTGAGAATTGTGTTTTCATCGTAAAGAAAAAATGAGCTGTGCAAGGTTGCGCAAGCTGTATTCGGGAAACACACAATATGCCAAAAAGTATCCTTAATATATCACGTTCAAATTTTCTGCATATATTATAACGTTCATTTGTTAACAATTCTGATTGTCCAGTGGGCGTGAACGTAAGCACGAACATATCTACACTTTTATATCAAAAATTTGCAATGGTACGCAGTTCTGTGTGCGTTGAAAACTTCAAGTTTCGCATTTTAATATAATTTTTTTCCTTCAATGGATTTTTCAATTTAAGAAATAATCAGAAATTACACAGGATTGTATCTGGATTGTACGAGGGTTGGCAAAGTTAAATAATTCGACCGTGTTTGTTCAAAAAGTTTAATGCAAATTCTTGCTTGGTTATTGCCCATCAAACACAATTGCTTCTTAAACACGTAATTCATAAGTTTAGTTAGAGCCATTTAATTTGAAACTATATTTATTAGGTCTATTTCTGTTAGTTTACGGGTTAAAGGATGGTTGGTGGCCACTTATATTAGTATACTATACAATAACATCCTGTATAATTTTAAAGGACCCCTCTCAAATCTTATGGAAATTAGGTATCGGTGGATTTATCTGAAATTTTGTTTATTGTAGTTACATAACAGTAACATACTCTAAATACGAAACGGGAACATACTTAATGTATACAATAATTACGTATATTGAGATGAAGTCAGAGGTCGGATACATTTGGAACAGATCTTTTATAATTATAAATATAAATGTTTTCTTCGCTTTAGCGATAACGTAAAAGTCTTCGAAAGAACTAGATATTTAAATTGCAAATTGTGATCTACGTTACGTATAATCGTAATAATATTTTATATTATATGTTTCCCTATTTTGAAAATTGTAGAGTACAGAAGTAACAGATAAGGCATTTCATGAAAACTGGTATTTGCTTCAACCTTCGACAAAACACATTTTTATTTTGATAATTATGTGTAATAATTTAGATTGCAGAATGGCAACGTTAAAAAATTTCAATTTCTCCTTACCCTCATTTATAACGGTAAAATTTTATATATTCCTTTTTTTCTGCACTAGTCACACTGTCATTTAAATTTAACATTCTTCGAATTTTCTTTCAGATTTTAAATCAATCGTACTCAATCGCCCTTTTGTATTTAAAAATGAAATGAGATGTTACGAGAAAAAGATGTCTATTTATGATAGTTATAATTATTATGTTCACATTACCATAGGAAAGTATTAACAACGGGAAATATTAACAATAAAAAGAAAATAGGTGAATTAAGTGCATGTAATTTCAGATCATAAGTTTATTAATTATTAAATATTTTGAGATATTATAGATATTATGGATTTCGATCGAATTTCTTTATAGTCTGTTTTGTAAAAAACGAGCGGAATATTATATAATTATTTTAATCTGGTCTTAATATGTCAAAAGAGCATATCATAATTAATTATTAAGTTGTTAATCAATTTAATTCTTAATAGTACTGCGGAAGTTTATTAGAGTTACGTTTCAAGACCGACAATTGTTCGACGTGCAGTTTAGAAAGACTACATATATCAATATATAAATTCACGCGAAATTATATACAATCAACTAAGATTTAAGCTAGACTGTTATAAGTTTCGTATTCGTATTAGTTATGTTGTTTCATTGACGGTCTTTAGAATTGAATATTGTTTATTTTATATTATTTTTTTATAAAATTGTTCTAAATTAAGTATAAAGAAAAAACGATCTAAACCGAGCGGTAATAGATTTTGTAACTCACGGGTCTTTCTTCAGCGATTCTCATAGATATATTCCAAAGTTAGAGATGAAAGCGTAATCTTGTGGTCTAAGCGACATTTTGTGGTAAAATTTGTTCGAAGAAATTGTTTCTCCAGTTTTTGTGTAAATGTGGAAATTATGTCTAAAATGAGAAATACATTGTCGTCAATAAATATAAAAATTGTCAATTTTTGTATTGCGCGTCAATTAATTACTTATTTGGTGATTAAAATTGAATTTCTTACTTATGATCAAATGTATGAAAACAGTAGCATCTTTTGGTTTTTATTTCATTCTGTTAAGCACAAGTGTTACAATGGTGATAAACGGAATTTTATGACATCCAAGTGATATTTATTTATTTATTTGACACTTTTTCAATAGATAACTGTATGAATAGTCCAGACTTAATGTTTTTTAGAGATTTAATGCTCTTGCTTTGTTTTTTAATGTATAACATCTCTGAGATTATTCTTTTATGGTAATTCTTTTCAATATCTAGAATTAAGGATCCTTCCCAATCGAAATTATATCATTTCATAAAAAAATCCTACCGCTCGATTTAGAGTCCCTATAACAGAATCTAGACAATGCTGTAACGATTACTGATCCAGTCAACTTCCATTAACAGTCAACTTCCTGAAACACAAATGTATACATTTGTAGGTATACATCTTGTGTACTCAGCTCACTTCAGACTCAGTTTCATTTGCGCGGCAAACACGTAATACATTTCCGGTTTCGACTGTTAATGACGAACGAGCTTGCGCCCGAATGCAGTGTGCAGATTCTGTTATAGTGACAGTAGCTCGAGTTAGATCGTTTTTTCTTTACACTCTGCATTGCAAAAAACGAGCAAAATCTAATTGTTCTAAATCAATTAAACTGAAAATAAATTTTAATGTTTGCTTTATGAAATTGTTTATGTTTAATTTAACTTTGTGATATAATACATGCACATGCTGCATTTACCTTTATAAAACGTTAATATGTTTAAAATTTTATATATATCTTGTTGTGTATCTTTATAAAATACGCGTTAAACAACATCTACTGGGAATTATTTGAAACTCACAGTTTTGCGACATGTAGTGGTGTTTGTAATTATAAAGAGATCATCACAAGATAATTACCATTGTGTAGAATACACAAATATATAGAACATAGATACATTTAGAAGAAAACTTCTAACCATACTTCTCCCTGTAATAAATACAGTAAAGATTGTACTCTTCTGTATGTCGAATGTCTTTATTTCTAGACATTATTCATTCGAAGTTTATTCATTCACTTCTCAATATTTCATGATAATAGAAAATGTGAGAACATTTCCTCAAATCTATAAAATATGCGTTAAACAACATTATATTCTTCACAACTCACAGTTCTGCGTTGTGTAGTCGTGCTTGTATCAAGAAAGTACTAGGTATAAGATAATTATCGTCGTATAGAATACATTTCTATAGAACACAGATATATTAGGCGGGAAGGTCTTTAATTATACTTCTCTCTGCGACAGATGTAGTAAAAATTGTAGTCCTGTACGTCAAATGTCCTTATATTTATCGTAACATTCATTTATTATCTCCCCTACACTTTATAATAATAGAAAATAAGGGAGAACTTCTCCAAATGGTGATTTATTCAGAAATATGCTATGTTATTGACGATAATGAAGTTCTGACGTGCACTAATAACAAGACAAAACATTAGAAATTGCAATGAAAAGTACAGAGTATCATTGTATATATCATGCGACAACGTATATTAACATAAATTCAGTTAGTAGAAATTCGAAGGAATAATAGAACATAGATCGTCGATGCAGTTATTTCCGAATGCTGGCAAAAAACTACACATGTTTTCTTGAAAAGCAGAAGCACATATGAGTGTGATATAACATTACGAGAAAGCAAAGTGAATTCAAGGTACGGAGAGTCACACAATCCCAACTGACTTCGTGAGGATGAATTTTCAAAACGTGAATTTCTTAAATGTACGATTGAACTTGCTCTCGGGGAATCTTCTTCCGATGTTCAACCGTGACTCATCCTTTTCATTCTTTTGGAAAATATACAGCGCTTTTGTGTGGATAGTATATTTCATTTTGGTTATTGCGATGATACCTGGGAGCATTTATGTGCCAAAGGAAAAAGTTCTTAAAGATAGCCTTCTCACCATGGTAATTTTTATAGAAATACTCTTTGGGTTTTTGCGAATTTACACTCGAAAAAATTTGGCATATCAATTTATTCAAAAGTTGAATACAATACTGCATATTGACGATGAAACTATGAAAAACGTTGTAATGACCACTTTAGAGCCAGTAAAAATTCCACTTAATTTTTACTTCTCCTCTGGCATGGTAGGAATAATAGGATGGACCTGTATGCATTTTGTATTAACATTCCAAAAGAATTTGTTTTATTACGAAGATTATAGATTGCCTGCAGCTTTCTCCAAACAACCATTCTCGTTCAGAGTTTTTTTAGTAGGAGATATATTCATACTAATCAGCATGATATGTACGTTCTTAAAAAAGATCAGTATGGAGGTATACATGATGCATTTAGTCATGATGGTAACAGCGCAATATCGATATATTGCACTAAAAATTGCGATGACATTTCAAGAAAAAAATGAAGATGTTAAATATCGATCAGGACATTGCCCTGATTATTGGAAAAAAGAAAAGGAAGTGAAGGCACTGTGTCGACATCACAATGATGTGATTGAGTGAGTATTTCCGAGTCTATTTAAGTGTATGGATATCTCGTATCAATTTGTGTGACAGAAGAAGTATGAAAAAAGTAATAATTGATTATATGTACATACATATAATCAGTTATTATATTTTCCTAACTTCTGTATATTATGTAATATACAAAAATACGACAAATGTGACAAGTTAGTTCTTATATGTTTAAATTATTTTTAATTAAATTTTTCATATTGTATAAAGTTTGTTCTTAAATCTATGTAGTATTAACTTTGCAACATTTTATGGCGGTTATTTTGTACGTTTTCTTTCAGATTAACTTTATTGCTGAAACAACTGCTGTCTTTAAGCTTTAGTTTAATGTATATAATGAGTGTCTTTCGATTCTGCTTTATTGGAATCATGTTTAGCACCGTGAGTAATAATTTTTTAACAGCACTAATCCTTCCTCTCTTCTTTCTCTCTTCTATCCCTTTCTCTCACTTTTTGTTTATAGAAATTGATTTTATATAAAAAGGCATTCAAAAATAACTATCGAGTTATATCAATTATGATTTAATCTAATCATATTTTTTTTCAGGTCGCATCCACGACGATTGGGGAAGCAATTTCGATTGTCATGTACACATCAGGTGCAACAGTGCAACTTTATATTTTGTGCTCTTGTGTGCAACAACTAGTAGACGCGGTAAATTTTGTAACTTATCATCAATACTATTTTATTTTTAAATTATATGTTAGGATATTTATTTGCGCATTTTCTTTGTACAATAAATATATCCAGAACAGAGATGTTCTCGGTACTCTATATCCTATAGCCAACCAACAGTCTTGAAAAACTTGTTATTTTTCAAGCCTGCTGATTGTCGTCAAATATCAAAATCGCAGAAATAAGATGTCGGACTAAAGAAAAAATTGAAAAATTTCTAAATGATAGTTGGATGCCAATAAAAATGTACTAAATTTTACTTTCGGCTAATAAAAGTAATATTTTCCACTGTTTTAAAGCTATTTTTAAGCATTTTTTAAGCTAAAAATTAAATTTATCTTTCTAAACAATTTAATTCATAATGAAATATTAAAATTATCATATATAGGTGTTATTGTGCAGTGAAAGATTGCGCAAACTGTATTCGGGAAACACACAATTTGCCAGAAAAGTATCCTTAATATAACACGTTCAAATTTTCTGCGTATATTATAACATATATTTATTAATAATTCTGATTGACCATTAGGCGTGAACGTAAGCACGATCATACCTATGCTTTTACAATTTTTCTATATTAAAATACTCTTCGTATATCAAAAATCGACAACAATACGCAATTGTGCGTCAAAAACTTTAACGCATTTTAACATAATCCTTTTTCCTTCAATGGATTTTTCAATTTAGGAAATAATCGAAAGTTATACGGGGCTATATCTGGATTGTACGAGTGTTGGCAATGTTAAACAATTCGACCGTGTTTGGTCAAAATGTTTGATGCAAATTCTTGTTTGGTCATTGCCCATCAATCACAAATGCTTCTTAAACACGTAATTCATAAATTTAGTTAGAGCCTTTTAATTTGAATCTATATGGGTCTATTTCTGTTAGTTTGCGGGTTAAAAAGGAGTGGCCGCTTATAAAGTATACTATATAATAATATCCTGCATGATTCTAAATTTTTGGAATGTAACAGTTATATTAAAAGTGACTTAAATTTACGGAGAATGTTCAAATTTGTAATCCAATTTTGCCTATTGTAGTTACATAACAGTGACGTACTCTAAATATGAAACGGCAACATACTTAATATATGTATAATAACTACGCATTGAGATTAAATCAGAGATCGGATACATTTCGAATAGATCTTGTATAATTATAAATGTTTTCTTCGCTTTAGCGATAACGTAAAAGTTTTCAAAAGAAGATTTAATATATGTATAATAACTACGCATTGAGATTAAATCAGAGATCGGATACATTTCGAACAGATCTTGTATAATTATAAATGTTTTCTTCGCTTTAGCGATAACGTAAAAGTTTTCAAAAGAAGATATTATAAATTGCGAATTATGCTCTTTGTTACGTATAATCATAATAATATTTTTTATTGTATGTTGCTCTATTTTGAAAAATCTAGAGTACAGAAGTAACAGATAAGGCGTTTCATGAAAACTGGTATTTGCTTCAACCATCGACAAAACACATTTTTATTTTGATGATTATGTGTAATAATTTAGAATGCAGAATTGCGACGTTTAAAAATTTCAATTTCTCCTTACCCTCATTTATGACGGTAAAATTTTATATATTTCTTTTTTTTCTACAATAGTGACACTGTGTTTTTAACATTCTTCGAATTTCCTTTCAGATTTTAAATCAATCGTACTCAATTGCCCTTTTGTTTTTGAAAATGAAATGAGAAATTACGAGAAAAAAATGTCTATTTACGATAGTTATAATTGTTACGTTCACATTACCATGGAAAAATGTTAACAATGGGAAATAATAACTATAAAAAGAAGATAGATGAATAAGGTGCATGTAATTTCAGATCACAGATTTATTAATTATTAAATATTTAGAGATATTATATATATTATAGATTTAAACCGAATTTCTTCATAGTTTGCATTGTATAATAGAAAACGAACGAAATCTAATTATTTTCGTTTGTTTCTATATGCGTTATTATATTTCTTTCAGCCAACAAAATCACAACTATATTTTTAACTTATTTGCTAGCAGACATTTATTGTACCACACTATGTCGCTTAGATTAAAAAATTATTTATCTCTATGACTTTGTAACATCTTCAAGAATCGCTGAAGAAGGACCTGAGTTCCGAAACGTTCAATATCATTTTTATTATTTTTTATATTATATTCTCTCTCTTTATATGTTTTTATTGTTATGCTGGACTAACATTGTAATCTTGAAATTTATATTATGAAAACATCTTATTAATTGGATTTAGACCGAATTTCTTTATAGTTTGCATTGCACTAAGCGAGCGAAATTTAATTATTAAATATTAATTGATGGAACGTTTCGACTTAACTTAGTCTTCATCAGCCACAATAGATAAACAAATAAAACATACAGTAATTATTTTAAGTAAGACCACATGACAAGCTGAAGCACAAAGTGTCCGGCAAGACTTTTCCTGCCGTCCACAGGAAGTTAGATGGGATCGAAATAAACATAAAAGTCCTTTACCGTTCAGCGAAATTCGTAATAATAATCGAGATATTAATGTTTGCAATTGTACTAATGAAAGCGCTTCGATAGAAATATTCCGGCCGCTTCAGGTATAGCCCGGCCCAGTTTGTCAAACGATGGTCGCGCCGACATGATGCAAAGCATCGTTTGACAAACTGGGTCGGACTATAGAGGCCGGAGCGTTTCTATCGGAGCGCTTTCGTTAGTACAATTGCAAACATTAATATCTCTAACACTAATATACTATGTAATAATACTACGATACGTTAATTTTCTTAAATAGGAAAAAATACACATTTTGATTATTGCTTACTCATCTGAAATTTATATTTAAAATATTTTTAGTGGTATTTTTGTATTTCATTTTTTTTAATACGTCAGAGAATATCTCTGATTGACGTGCCAAGAGCGGAAGTAATAGTAAAACTCTTTATCAAAGAGGAGAAAGCTTACTTTAAGAATAATTTTGCAGTAATTATGCAGTCGTTGATTTGTATACGCTATATATATATTTGTATGTATGTATTTTGTACTTACTAACAAAAAGAACCGCAGTTTAGTGATGAATGAGTTGCTTGTAAAATACAATTAGATGCTGATCTCTTTGTGGTTATATGACAAACATAAGTACTACAAGATAACAATTACGAAGAAATTAGTGATTATATTTACTTTTAGATAAAGTATTGAAAAATACAGTCCTTCATTGAATTCATCATTGTTCAATATGACATTTATACAATGCTTACAGAATGAACATTGAAATAAACTTAGACTGTTATTGCTTATATTATCATTATACCTATGTGTACAACATAACCCACATAGCATAGCAGCTTGCAGCAACGGCCATTGATGTATCCTTTGTAAACATGTTACTACAGTACATATTACTAGAAGGTTCTGTTTGTAAGTTACGAACTCTGTAATATAATACATTCAGCAATATATAGTATATTAAATAAATTGAAAAATGAAGGACTCTTTATATAAAAATAGTAATAATTAACGAAGATAAAGGACAATTAGAGTCAAATCGTAAATAAAAATAATAAAGCGGTTATAACATTGAATATATAATATAGATTTAAAAAATATGTATATACATCAAACTACTTAAAATAAAAGAAAACAAAAGTACTTATAGCCGCTTATGATATATAATATTAAAGATTGAATCGTACATAATACGTCGTTACAAGTTTCGACTCTTGGATCGAGTCCTCTTCAGACATCCAAAAAAATTAAAATTTCCCGTCCATACATGCAGTTAAATCAAAAATTACTAACTCATCGATTTCTCCTTTTATTACGTAACATGTAGTATATTACTATTTAATATTATCTGATGTACTAACTGTTAATGTGCCTCTCATTATGTATAATTGTTTTTAATAAAAAATTGTCAACTTGTAATTATATATGTCCGTAAAATAAATTAGCTTATTTTTTATAGAAGATGAGCATTTGAATATATAGAAATCTAACTTTATTTAACAATTACTATTTCAAAGAACAGTCCAGTCATTTGATTGATTTGATTTTAAAGTACATGATTAACATTCATATATATATATATATATTTACATATAGTTTATATGTATATCAATATAAACTATAATTTAAAAAAAAAAACGAAATTGTGTCATCTGGAATTTTTCACAATCGCGCAAGGTAATACCGAATCAAGTTCTATTTTCTTTTTAAAAATTATGTTTATATAATATTATAATAGTATAAACTATTAATTATTATATATATTTTCAGCCGATTATTTTTGAATGATGTCTAATTCTACAATTGATAAATAATCGTTGGTATATATTTAATTTTTCTCTTAAATATTTACAACTTTTCTACCTATCTATATAAAAACAACAAAAATAAGTAATAATATTTACCTCAGATAAGGTGTGTATTCTCAATGATAATGCAATTTCTATGACATACAATATCTAAACACTGACTGTATCGGACTACTACTGGATACGAGAAGTGAGAACTTGTAATTACCATTGTCCTCTATAACATACTACAATAGCATTATTCGTATTTATCCCATGACCCGTGTTTGCAATTCCTCCATTATACTTCGTATTCCAATCAACGATAGTTTCAACAGCATCAAGTTCTGCAGTACCTCTTGGTTCCAGATCCTACAATGACAGAATATAAGATAATTGTTGGAATGTAGAGGAAATTATAAGGAACGTAATAATTATTTACTTTTGATAAACAGAATAAAAAAATAGAAGGCCACATTCAATGAACTATCGCGCAGTATATGTTGATTTTATATATTTTATAAGGAGATCTACATATTTCTATTATACTAGAATGTAGAACCTCACAAATTCATTGTCTTGTCAATGATATGGTTCGACAATATTTAATATTTAACACATCTATACAACGATTAGAGAGCAAACATAATAGAGAAGTAGAATAAACGAAGAAAACAGAATGAAAGGAGAGAAAAGTCATCCTTTGCCGACTGCTTATAATGTATTATGAATAAACAGAAAAAAATAAAGAGAATAATAAATTCCTTAATGTAGCGTTAAGTGTAGTTTTGGAATAAAGGAAAACTCCCTCAATCAGATACACAGACACACATTTTACTTATAAAAGATGAAACGATAGTAGCACGTGTAACAGATATTATTAGAAGTACAAACAATTAAAGTTTCAAATTTTAACCACTGAATTTTATCAAGATACGATTCCGACTTACAAATATATATATATATATATATATATATATATATATACGATACGGAAAAAAATGGATTTTAAAAATGTAAATTTTTGTATTGCGTTATAGCATGTCATTTATATTAAAGAAACTTCTATCCGTGAACTTCAGTCTACTCTATATCAATAACGTATTACGGTTCTGCTTTATAGGTATCATATTCAGCACAGTGAGTAATAATAACATTATTAATCTGACAGAAAAAATAATTTTAATAATTATATTTGATGTTGATTCATTATTTATTGTTTAATATGTTAGCTTATTAAATAACTCATTTTAAGAAATTTATGAGTATATAAAATATTAAAATGTTTAATAAATATATAAAAAATTAAAACATTTTAAAATTATTTGTGTGCGTATTACATAAATCAGAAACAAGTTTTTAATTAATTAAAAACACTTAAGTTGAAATTTTTCAAATTAGAAAAGCAGAAATTAATTTTTTTCTAAAGATATTTCTTATTTGGAATTTTATAAGTATTTTACGTATTTTCAGGTACCATTAATGAATGTTGCAGAAGGAATTTCGGTCATAATATTTGGAATTGGTACACTAACACAATTTTTTGTGTTATGTTCTTCCGTACAAACACTTTCAGACGCAGTAAGATATATATAATTTATTATTTAAGTTATATAAATTATGTATTTTTATTCAAATAATTAATAATATTGGAAAAATGTTACATTATATTAAATTTTGCGTGTATTATTTCAAGCGTCACATAATTTGCTATTGTAAAGTTTATTTTTATTACAGAAATTTATGAAATTATAACCTAATATATAAAAAGAAGATATACATACACACACACACAATTTGTACAATTTTATTTATTTGGAATTATAATTATAATTATTTAAGTACAAATAGTAATTATGTGTATATGAATTACAAGTGTTGGCAAGATGAAATAAAAAATATAACTATAATAATCCGAAACTACATTCTGTCATTTTGTATACTTTTATACTAATTATAGAGTACCAAAATAACAGATAAAGCATTTTGATGAAGGCTGGTATCAATTAGGACCATCAATGAAACGTATATTTATATTATTGATAATGTCTAACAATTTAGAATGCAAAATTGCGGCAATAGGAAAATTTAATCTGTCTCTACCTTCGTTTATGGCGGTAAGATTTATTGTATACATTGAGAAAAAAATTTATTAAACTTTAATAAATATTTTTTTGAATAGCGGAATATCTTCTTTCGGTAAATAAATATTTAGATAAATAAAAAAAAGATTGTTAAATAAATCTAATGGTTTTTGTATATAATAAATATGTACAGCGAAATATTTACATTTAATAAATATTCCGCTACAACTATTCAAAGAAAAATGTATTAAATTTAGTAAATTTTTTTTCAGTATACCTATATTTCTTATATGTGTTGAAATAATTAATACTTCAACCTTCTTATGTTATA